TAACTAAGGAAGAGAGTATAAAAAATACATGTTTTGGAGGGGACAGGGAAACCATATTTGCCTAACTTCTATTATTATATATTGTTAGGATCATTTGTTTCATTATAAATTACTATGTTAATCTCTTATTAAGCCTAATTTATAAACTGAGCCATGACATAGGAATTTATAGGGAAAAACCCCCACAGCAGCATAAAGTTCACTACTATCTAAACTTTCAGGCACCCACAGTGGGCTTGGAATTGGACACCCACAGATGAGAGTTTGACCAGATGCTGTTCTGGGTGACGAGTTTAATTCCCTCAGGGGAAAGCCATCACAAAACACAAGCCTCAGAATTATCCCACACCAAATTGGGTGTTATAGAGCATTTATATACCAATTTCCTATTGTCACTGATTGGGTGGGGACTACTCTCTGGGATAGTTTATGGCCACTCTTACACTGTATCTGGTTAATGGCCACTGAAGGTGGGAAAGACTGAGCATCCATCAAAGTTCCAGGGAACCAGGTGGGGCAATGAGAGCTTCTACTACCTAAGGGTGGCAGGGTTCGACAAGCAGAAACAGAGTACCATGTGTGAGAGTCTGCCTTGTCCAAAAAAGTAGCAGATTTGGGGGGGGGTCTCAAGACTTTTTGCAATCAAAGGAGAAATCCTCCACTCCCTCTGTTTCAGGCTGCTGATGCCAAATGTGGGCAGAATATTTCCTCCCACTCATTCTCCATTGTTTTAGATGCCATCAGGGTGTTCGGTGATATGACCTCCTATTGGAGGTCAGTATGTACATGTGAAAGATTCTGTGCCACAAGACTTGCACCCTACCTCCCAATCAAGCACAGTAATCCCTTGTTACTGCTGCTCTCAATGCATCTCACTACCAGGATGGAGATAGCATTGTGGACCAAGACCAATCAGGCTTGAGTCATTTATAAATCTAAGTGGAGGTAGAGGGAGGGAGTTTGTTCCTGTGATATCCAACAGATCCCATGTACTCAGAAGGTCTGGAGCAGAGCTGGGTGGGTACACACACTGTCTCCTCAACCTGCCAGAGATGGATTGTTTGTTCTCTGGGAGCAGACTCTGTCATGCATGTCCCCAACCATCAAAGTCATACAGGACAATTTCTGTGACTTTGCCATCTAGGAATGTAGTTGTTGTTCATGGGTGTCATTTTTTCCTGTGGAAGTTGCCTATGACAGCTTACAGACAGCTCTGCCTCACTGCCACCAGTCAGTGTCCTCACAACCACAGAGAACTGCCTGCTTTTTTGTCTGCTTTGCATCCAGCTGTATTTTAAATATCTATTTGCCCCAATGACTGACAGTTTGAATGGTCCCACACATTATCTTAATGTTAGAAAAACTCAGGTGTCTCCTATTTAAAACCAAACCCCTTCCATTTACTCTCCCACCATTCTGCTGATTGAAGAGTTTCAATGTTTCCCCCATTTGTAATTGTGTTTGGTAGCAACATCTTCTGATATTTATTATATTAGTTCATTTTCTTCCTGCTGTGACCAAATAGGTGACAAGAAACAGCTTACGGAGGGAAGATTTATTTCACTTATGTACAGGCCACACACACACACACACACAAATAATAAAAATGTATTTAAAAAGGCTTAGGATGCTGGGCATGGTGGCACATGCATTGTATCCTAGCACTCAGGGGCAGAGAGATGTGAATGGATCCCTGAGAGTTTGAGGCTAGCCTGGACTACACAGAGAATTCTAGGCCAGCCAGGTGACATAATGAAACCTTGTCAAAATTTTAAAATCTCTCTCTCTCCCTCTCTCTGCCTCTCCCTCTCTTCTCTGTGTGTATCCCTCCCTCGCTCTCTCCATTCCTTTATTCCTTCCTTCCTCCTTTCCTTCCTTCCTTTCCGTCTTGTGTGTTCATTATATGTGGGTATGCACATGCCATATCATGTGTGTGGAGGTCAGAGGACAACTTTGGGAGTCTTTTCTCTCTTTAGACAACCCAGGACCTGGGAATAGAAAATAGAAATCAGCCCTCAGGCTTGCCAATGTTTTTGTTGAGTCATTCCATGGGCACATGGTTGAATACTCTTCTGTGGTACAAGAAGCCACATTTGTTCATCCGCTTGTTTGTAAGTGGGCATTTAAGACATTTTCTCTATCATCTCTTTTTTCTCCCATGCCTACAAAGCATATTGTTCTCCATTGATTGTTTGAGTATATTGTGTTTTCTGGAAACATAAACACTGGCTAATCTCCTCAAGAAATTATTGACTGGATTTACAAAGCCAGAGACTATTCTCATGATTCTCTTGTCATGTCCCACCTGAATCACGTGAGAAAGCTTTGAATTACGAATTTGCTCTCATTCTTCACTGTGCAGACAGATTTCTAGAAAAAAGACCTTAGCATTACTTTATGTTCTCAGCATTTCACAGACTCTAAGAGGTCCGCTGATCCTTTCCAAAGCCCACAGGAATCCCACAGAAGAGCACAGCTGGTTAAAGATGGCAGTCTGAAGCCCTAAGGAGAGGCAAGCATCTCATTTGGCAGTTAGTAGGGGTGTGAATGTCGACAGATTACTTAACCTGCTGAGCTTCCACTTAAACATTATCAAATGAGATTGTTATTCCATAGCACTTCTGAACTTGTTGGCAGGAGTCAGTCCAGGGTGTGGGACAGTGCAAACACAAGCCTCCCTTCCCATCTTGCCCATTATCCCGAGGGCAGAACCTGGTACAAGGTAGTTGTGATTTCTGAAGAAGCCACACCTGATGGGAGATGCCATTATGTATATATGTTTCTCATACTGGTTAATAATAAAACACTGTTGGCCAATAGGAAAGAAAGATAGGAGGGACTAGGAGACAAGGAGGAAATAGAAAGTAGTAAGGAGGAGCCAAGATGGAGAGTCTGGAGAGAGCAGTACTCGGCAGCTGGCTCCGGGTAAGAAGACCACATGGAAATACATAGATTAACACAAATGTGTTAATACTTAAGACAAGATAAGAAAGTAGTAACTGGCCAACAGTATTATATCTAATACAGAGTCTCTGTGTTTTAATTGGGGCTGGCGCGGCAGCAGGACCAGACCAGGCGGTGGGCGGAAAAACAATACTCCTTACACACACCTGTGTGGAAGGTCCTGAAAACTGACTGAATGGAAGTTCATGACTAAAGAGAGAAGAAAACTGACTGAATGGAAGTTCATGACTAAAGAGAGAAGCAATTTTGCAGCTGTAGAGCTAAAATGACCTTGGCCTATCTTTGGTTTCCTCAATAACTGTTTACTACTAACTTCTGCCCTGACAGCTCTCTGACCACTAGATGGGATGTTTGGAATGCACTGCTAAATTTAATAAGCCACTGGCTTTTTTTTCAACCTTGGTGCTATGGGTCTTACAACAAAGCATGCTGGACCTATAGAAGAAGTTTTTCCACACTGCCATGACCTGTCTAGTTATTGTACTCACCCATGTATTAGGTAAACACATTGAGTACATTTTTTTGGGTAAATGTATTTACAACCTTCTTTTGTTTTGTGACCATACATGTAAACTCTTTTTCAGTGGAACCTGTCATTCAGGAGAACCTGAACCTGTTGTTCCTGGGCCGTGATCATATTGGACTCAAAATAAACTCTCTTATTCTCTTTGGAGTGGAAGCTAAAATTTTTATCTACAGTAGGCAAGTGTAGAAACAGATCTGCTTGTCAACACAGCCCTAGAAATTCATTTTACATGTCATCCTTAGGATAGCCTTCACATCCTTGTCTACAGGGTCCTATCTTCATTAAGAGGCACTTCTTAAAGCACTGTGCATGGACCCTTCATTTGTTACACTAAATTATTTGTTTAAATTAATGTGGGTGGTAGTGTTAGTATATATCTATGTCACTGTGTTTGTGGAAGTCAGAAGACAACTTGCAGGAACTATTTCTCTCCCTGCTCCAGGTGGGTCCCTGAGGTAGAACTCAGATGGTTGATTATGAGGCAGGTGTCTCTAACCCAAGCCATCACTCTGACTCCTTAATCTGTCTTTCGTGCATAACCCTGAGCTCCACTTAGGGACCTTATTTGTCTTGTTCCCTGCTCTAACCTCAGGTCAAAGGTGGGTATGTACATACACTGGACATTTATCACCACTTACAGAAAGCTTCACTATTCATTCTCAAACTTAGTTCAGAAGGGGATGGCAGGCCTGGGGATACAGCTCAGTGGGAAGAGAGGGAGACTCCTGGAATGCCTGAGGCTCTAGGTTCCATCCCTAGCACCACAAAATAAATAGGGGTGGCCCAGAAGTCACAGGGGCTAGTGTCTGACTTTACATGGAATCCCCGTGAGTGTGAGTATGTGCATGTGTATTTGCTACTCCCCCCCCCATCCCCCTCCTTTCCAAAAAGGGTTTCTATGTGTAGCTCTGGCTGTCTTGGAATTGCTTTGTAGAACAGGCTGGCCTCAAGTCAGAGATCCTTCTGCCTCTGCCTCCGAGCACAGGGATTAGGCATGCACCACCACCGCCCGCTTTCTTTCCTTCTTTTTTTTCCCTTTTAATTCAAAACATGACTTCACTATGCAATCTAGCCAGACCTTGGCTTCAGTATCCTGAGTATTTCAGGTTGTACCTCTAATGGGCCGTGCTGCTTGCTAATAGGGTCTAAATTCCGAAGTTCCAGAAAAGTAGGGAGTCTACCTGGATGAAGAGTTTCTGGACTTTAACGTGGGCACAGCATCAATATAAGAGAGAAGGGGAACAACCACGTGGCAGGGCTGCCACAGGGACAGTACCGGCTCCAAAGATCAGCCACTGACAAATAACTCAGAAGAAAACAGCAGCAGCAGCCGCAGCAGCCATCCCTCAATGCGCAGGCGCAGTCAAACTGCTCAGCGCTCTCCTTGCTCCGCCCCGCTCCGCCCCGCCCCACCTCCTGGGAGTCACTGGACTCCAAGGCGGTCAGCTGAGGCGCCGGGGCGGGTCACCTGACGGCGGGAAGGGAGGGGCCTCAGCGGGTTGCGCAGGCGCAGATCGTGGGCCGCGGGTCAGCTGACCCAAGGGCCTCCTGCGAGTGTTTAAGCCGTCGATATAGGCCTTTCCTTTGGCCGAGAGTCCCCGCAGCGATGGCGAGTCAGTCGCAAGGCATCCAGCAGCTGTTGCAGGCCGAGAAGCGGGCGGCCGAGAAGGTGTCCGAGGCCCGCAAGCGTGAGCTCCGGGGCGGGGCGGGGCGGGATAGCAGGCGGGAGTCGGAGGTTAGGCCGCGGGCGGAGGCCCGAGCCCGGGCGGCGCCTGGAAGGGACCACACGTTGCCTGCCGAGACCCTGGTGGGTTTGTCCTCCGCTTGGGGTGGAGGGCGTATAGTGGCCACCGACCGAAACGCTCCTCACACCTAGTCCCTGCTCAAGGATCCCGCCCGGTCGCGGGAGTCTCCGCCGTGGTCATCTTGGCCGCCTCTCCCCACTTCACTTTAAGCCGTTTGCCAAGCCTCTCTGTCCCGACCCCAGTCCACCTCTTCCTCCAGCATCTTAGTTCAGCCACCTGAGTTCATGTGGCTGCCTAACTCGTTCATTCCTTTTGTTGTTGTTCCCCAGAAAATGTGCCAGAGTTCGTCTTCATCACAGGGTATTTATTTCATGTTCCAGCGGAGGAGCAAATATCAGTTAAACGGGTGTGTGTAGGTAGTGAAAGGCCAATGTTGAGAGGGGGTAAGGCGGCCAGAAAAGTCAATTTACCTCCCTGGTCTAACTGGCACTGAAGGAGTGGAAGAAGCCAGTCGTATTCTACAACCCATTTTTTTTTTTTTTTTTTTCCCATTGCAGTCACCTGCTTAAAGTGTGACACTATACCTTTCCCAGTACCTTTCCTCCCAGTCAGTGGTCCTAGTCCTGCAGAAGGTGGTATTTCATAAGGGATTAAAGGAAGCACTAACGTCAATCAGGCTTTTGTATGCTTTCCTAAGAATATCACTGTGAGGTATTTTCTTTCAGCTATACTGAATCACTGTGCGTCTTCAAGGCAGCGTTATATATGTCCCCACAAGCCTTTGCACATCATTTCCTCAGATTGGAAGACCCTTCCTCAGTGTTTCCCCACTGATACCCAAATGGTTAGTCTTCTTTTGGATTTCAAACTGTAGGCAGCTGGTCCTCCTCATCCAGTCTCCTTCCCTCAGACAAGGTTGGGAGCCCCTCCCTGGTGCTTAGTTTTTAACATAGTGTTATAGTAAATGTTTGGTTTACATGGCCCTGTCACTAGACTAAGCTTTTGGAATCTGGAGACTGTGTCTCAGTAACTCTATCTATCCAGGTTTCTAAGTAAGCAGACAATATATGTATTCACTCTTGTTTTGCAGGTGGGAAAAGTGAGACTCAGATGAATTGAGCAGACAGTATGGGGTTTAGAGGCTTTTCTAATACAAGGCAGTTTTCTTATAAAACTTGTACACAGGTGTGTGTGTGTGTGTGTGTGTGTGTGTGTGTGTGTGTGTGTGTGTGGTTTATTTTGAGGTAGGCTCATGAACTCCTGGCTAAGTGGGGACTCTCAGAGCTCTGCCTGCCTTGGCTCCTAGTGCTGGCATGAAAAGCATGTGTTACCACTCCCACCCCCAAGTAGACCTCAAGTGTGGCTCTGGTGGGAATTGTGCTCCTATTTATTTCCTGGGAGAAGTTTCCTCTGGGAGTGCTGGGGATGGTGAGAAGCATGTGTTCTTTGTTCTTGCGTGACTTGAAAGTCTGTGTTGCCATATTCTTGATCCAGAATTTCCAGAATGTCTGGTCAGTTTGTCCATTGATGACTCAGCAGCAACAGCAGGTGTATGTGTTGGGAAGTACATGAGACCATTTGGAGGAAGTGCAAGAGCAAATACTTGAACTGTGGTGGGTATGGCTGAATTCCTGGGAGGTTCAAACCTTTCTGGGCTGCAAGGTCTTGGTGTGTATCAGTTGTTATTTGCTGAAGGAGTTTGTTTTAAAGGGGTTAGCTTACAGCTGACTCACATTTTAAGATTTTTTTAGTAGTTGGGAAGAGAGGTATTGAAGAGAGCTAAAATTTGAAAACTGTCCCTTATTTGTGATCACACCTGACTTGCCCAGTTAAGAACTGGAAAGAAATGGCTCCTACTTAAAAGGTCTGGAAAGCATGATTTAAAAGAAATTTTGGGCTGAGGAGATGATGCATAACTAACTGCAAGGGAGGATCCCAACTTTGGGACCAGAGCAAGCTACATAAAACCTAAAATGGGGGAAGAAAAAAGGTAAGTCTGGGGACTCTGGGTGCTTGAAGTGTTGCTCAGTGGTGGAGTACTTATCTAGTGTGTAGACTCCCCAGTACTAGGTGATGTGTATTTCTGTTTGTGTCATCTATTGGTCCAGTAATATTGACTTTTTAGAAGTCTGTCAATACACCTTTGAAATTGCTTGCCAAAAGGCAGTGGTGGTCTTGTTTAAGGAGCTGTGGGAGTTGGAAATGACGGGATATGAAATTACCTTGGAGTTCCTGCACAATGGTTGGGCCATGGATGTCTTTGATAGACTCTTGGTTTGGAAAAGGTCTTCAGGTTTAAATGTGAACCATGTAGCAGATGGGGGCAGATAATCTCTAAAGGATTGGGCCCATCCGAGGAGGAGTGAGCTGAAATAAATACTGTGTTTAAGTGTAGACTTGCAGAAATAATCCTTGGGTGTGTAGGGAGAGACTGTTTCAGACTTGCCAGACAGTGCTGATGTCATGAAGTCATTACAGCTCCAGAATTCTCTCTCTTTGTGCAGTTCTCCAACTTTATTTTACAATCAGCAGGTTCTCATCCTCATTGACTGACTGTAGAGTTTTGAATTTGGTAACAGGCACATAGGTTATCAATGTGTAGAGCTTGTTTGGTGAGTCCTCATCATCGTTAGGTTTTCTGGACAAATGTCCACAGATACAGCATGGAACATTCTTATTCCTCTGGCCCAGACAGCTCTGCTGAGCCTGGATCAGTGTGCACATCTGGAGACCCAATCTACTTCATGGCAAATGTCCAGATTTCTTTGAGTGCCTGAGGAGCATGCTTCTTGAAGCACACGCCATGGTTGTGCTTGTGAATGTTGTGGTGTATTCTTGGATCACCACCTTGTTGATGGCAGAACTGCCCTTCTTCTCTCCACCCTCCTTTGCGGGAGAGCCATTCTGCCAGGCCCAAGTTGGAAAGCTCCAGAATTCTAATCAGGGACTTCAAGTTCACTTCAGTTCCATCTGTCCACTTGGGTAGAGTGGGCTTTGGACAGTTTGATAATTCAGTGATGTCTAACAGTGTTTGTGGAGTTTTTTTGTTTGTTTGTTTTTAAGATGAGTGCTTTCTTTTGCTACAAATTAACTTATCTAGGCTAATCTAGAACACCCTCTTGATGAAACTAGGCACAGTGGTATACACCTGTAGTAATCCCAGCACTTGGGAGACAGAGGCAGGCAGATCTCTGAGTTCCAGGCCCCTTGGTTTATGAATGGGTGAATTTCAGGACTACACAGTCTGTCTCTCTCTCTCTCTCTCTCTCTCTCTCTCTCTCTCTCTCTCTCTCTCTCACATTTAAAGCAGAGACTGTTGGCTGGACTTGTATCTGTCAACCTGGAGACTTTACAGATCTGTTAAACTGCTGTCTTCCAGAGATCAAAACCCCTGTTTCTTCTCCCTCCCAGTTGTGTGTGCTCTGGCATGGCGTTTTGCATTCTCCCCAGTCATGGCTTTGATTCTGCCACAGCCCTGGTGCCTGGTTTCCAGTATTATGTCATGTCTTTCCTTAGCTACATTTTAGGTGATGTCATTTGAGTGCATTAGCTCTCAGCAGATTCCTAAGAAGGTCTGCAGTTGTTAAAGTGACATGATATATTGCTGTTCACTATTTGGGGTGAGGAAGAGCTCCCCAGATAGCTGTCACCCATCTTACATTAACAGGTTTTTAATAGTTAAGATTGAGAGACTATACTGTGACATTCCATCGTTTATTTTTAAGTGAGTGTGCAGTTCTGGATCTTAGACTGAGGGCTTCGTGCACTGCTTACAGCTCTAAAGGGCATTCCTGTTTTGTCTCCTCTTACAGGCCAGAAGCAGAACATACAATGTTATGTAGATCTGTAGTCCCTCTTCCCTGTGTTTTTCTGGTATTTTTTGTTTGTTTGTTTTGTTTTTTGTTGTTATTATTATTGCTTTTGTTTTTTGAGACAGGGATTCTTTGTATAATAACCCTGGCTGTCCTAGAACTCTAGAGATCAGCCTGTCTTTGCCTCCTGAGTGCTGGGCTTAAAGGTTTGGGCCACCACTGCATGGCATTAATTATTGTCATCAATGACTACTAAGATTCTTTATCAGAATCTACTTGCTGTTCTGCTTTGGGACACATCTTTATGTCTTTCTCTTTGAAAAAACAGGAAAGAACCGGAGGCTGAAGCAGGCCAAAGAAGAAGCCCAGGCTGAGATTGAACAGTACCGCCTGCAGAGGGAAAAGGAGTTCAAGGCCAAGGAAGCTGCGGTGGGTTTCTTTTTCTTTTCATTATTGCCTTACTTTCTTGTGTAGATCTAAAAATACCCAGGATAGCTTGAAGACTCTCATTTAGTTTTGAGGTTTGGGTTTATTTTGAGGTTTGGGTTTGTTTTGGTTTGGTTTTGGTGGTACTGGGGATCACATTCTTGGCTTTTGCATGCTAACATGTTCTCTAGCCCCTAACTCCTATCCCCTGTCCCATCCCTATTAATTGTGTGATTTGTTTGAGGCTCATCTTGTCTCTTGGGATGGTTACTGTTGTTTATTGTATCAGATTCTAGTTTTCATTTATGCTGTTATTTAGAAATCTTTTAGGTAGTTGGCATGTGTCAGGTACCATGTTGGATGCTGGGGGATCAACCAGGAACAGTAGGTTCTGTCCCTGCCTTCCTCAAGTTTAGCTTACAGTAAGCCCTACAAACCTGCAGCTGTGAACACTGCTATGAATTAAATGGAACCTGTATCTCAGTAAAGTACAGACTTTTATCACTGTGGTAGGTAACTGTGATGCATAAAATGATGCATAGAGATCTTGGAGGGAAACAGGATCAAAGGGGGGAACAGAGCTGTGTGATATCCCATACAGTAAACAGTGGTTCACAGTTTATTGACTTAGTTAAAACCTAAGTAAAAGATTGAGTTTGCCCTCATCTAAGTGTCGAGATGACTGCTCTGGGCTCTTCTCATTCCTGTCTTTACATTTCTGTGCTTCATTCTCAGGCTCTGCATTGGTTGTCTCCAGTGGTTTTAGGCCCATACCTGTGCAGACCAAGGGCCAGTGATCATGGGCACCTTTGTCTCCTTCTTAGCATTAAGGACACAGGCTTCCATTTTCTTTGCACCGAGCAATCACAGAGCACATTAAAATATGCAGTGTTCCTCTTGGCAGATTGGTACTAAAAATTGTTACATTGCACAGTAAATTCTCTGTGTCAGGGCAGCCGTCTTGTGTCTACATGTGCCACAGTTGTTTATTGGATACTGTCAGTGTTGTACTATAAAATACATTCTAGTGTAGTCCCATGGTAGGCAGCACCTTTACTTTTGAGATACTTACTGGGGTATGGCACATGGCTCATACTTATGGAACAGAGGCAGTGTCTCATTATCCACATGTTGGAATTGCACTTATATATCTCCATGCTGGGTTATGAGTTTAGATAAATTTTCCCAGTAGTACATTTTGAACAATGTATTGTATGTGTATGAGTCCTTTTTGCCTACATATATGTATGTGCATCATGTTCACACCTGGTGCCCCCTGAGGCCAGAAGTGGGAATTGGATCCCCTGGATATGGAGGTACAGATGGTTGAAAGCCACCATGCTGGGAACCAAACCTGTGGCAAGGGCTTTTAACTCTTAAGCCATCTCTCCAGTGTCCATCCTTTCACTTTTGAAGACACATTGAAAATAATTTAAATGCTAATATCACTGATACTATTGTACTATTTTTCACCCATAAATTGCATATTTTACAGTTCATGTTGCTGAACAGTATTCTGCTGTATAGATGCTTTGTAGTTCATAACCAGTTTTAGTTGTTGGTGTGTGTGTGTGTGCACTTGGCTGGTTGACGTACTACTGTTGCTACTGCTGGGAATTGAATCCCTGTCACATTTGTATGTACTCTATTATTTTTGCGCTCAAGCAGTTTTGCTCTCACCTCACAAGTAGCTGGGATCACAAGTGTGTACCACTGTGGGTGGTGCCATAGTGGTTGAATCTTTAGGTTGGTTCCAGTCTTTACTAAGGACCATGTACTAGACAGTGGAATACTGCTGTAGATAGCAATGAGCTCTGATGGAATGCCTGGTTCGTCACATAGCTTTACTCACAGATTACATTGCCTTCCACTGGTATATTGATTGCCTTCTCTTGTTAAGGAGTTGGGGCTTTTCCATAAGCCAGCAGGTTGCTTGTTAAATGGCTCAACCAGAGAATCTTTAATGTATCCTTGTATTCTGTCTTCTCCACTGCAGGCACTGGGGTCCCATGGCAGTTCTAGCAGTGAGGTGGAGAAGGAGACCCAGGAGAAGATGACCATCCTCCAGAACTATTTCCAGCAGAACAGGGATGAAGTCCTGGATAACCTCCTGGCCTTTGTGTGTGACATCCGGCCAGAAATCCATGAAAATTACCGTATAAATGGATAGGAGGTGGAAGCACGTGCTCTGTGGGTTGTCATGGGAGATTCCCTTACAGAATAGGAGACCTCCACAGAGCTTGAGTTCTATTCTGGAAGGCATTAAATTATTTCTCTGTGCTGTTGTAGATCCCTTCACTTTATGAGAGTATCAAATCTAGCTTTTTGTACAACGTAGTCCCTGAAGTTTCATCTTTTTACCTTGTGTGTCTTTAAGAGTATATGTTTCCTGTGTGTTTGTGCAAACAATAGGCATCACTGTTGATTTTTTTCCTTTATTAGTCTAGTAGAAAAAAAAAACCGAAACACAATTCTTTGAAGAAAGCAAGGGAATAAATTGTTCCCTTCCACTTTCTTAAAGGTCAGGGGCGTTATCTATGAAAAAGTAGTAAATAGCATTTGTAACTCTTATGAAGCAGCAGCCAGCCTTATAGTAGTCCATTCTGGCTAGTTTAGGACAGTGAATATGCTTGTTCAGGCTGCTTTTAGTGTACCTTAACCCAAATTACTAGATGCTAGGACTCGATAACGTGTTACATGTTATTTGGTGTGCTTGTAATCACTTAAAAGTAAAACTTTGTCTTGCCTTTCATCCCTCTGGCTCCTCTTTTTGATAATGCAAAGTGTATCTTGACCCATATGTTGAGCAGAATTTCATTTAGGAAATCAACACATGTCAGATTTGTGTATTTTACTAGTAAATCCTCAAGGTGTTTGTTAGAAGGAAATAGCATGTGATTTCATCCTCTGTTTTAGAAAGCAGCAGGCAACCTGAGAGCTAGTAGTTAGCCTTTTGTCTAGAACAGTAGTTTTCAACCTGAGGGTCATGACCTCTTTGGGGGGTTGAATGACCCTTTCACAGGGTCACATTACCAGATATCCTGCATATTTGGTATTTACATTACAGTTAATGACTAGCGAAATTACATTTATGAAGTAGCAATGTAAATACATTTTTGGTTGATGATCACCACAACATGAGGAACCCTATTAAAGGGTTGCAGTATTAAGAAGGTTGAGAACCACCACTGTAGAGGACCCTGGGTCAGACATCCTTGGCAGCCTTGGGCAAATGAGCAAACATACCTCTCTGGTGAGTAAAGTGATTGATGTATAACTTCACTGGCTCCCAAATATGAGATACCTGGTGGCCCTCTTCAGGCTAACAATCTTTGATTGCAGAGTAATTGTGGGTAAAAACAGTCAAAAGAATGTTAGGGGTTTTCCTTTTCATGCATCATTGTGAGATAGTAAGCACAGATTTTTGTGCCTCTGGGTTATTTGCTGTTAGGCCACTTCCAGTCTCTGGTCACTGTTCTGTTTGTTCCTGTGTGTGTGTGTGTGTGTGTGTGTGTGTGTGTGTGTGTGTGTGTGTGTGCTGCGCGCGCGGCACACACTTGAAGGGTTTACTGCCTCAGGTTTTCCATTATCCTGTTAAAACACTTAAGGCTTGCCACTGCACTGGAGCTGCTTGCTGCTTGTCTGGCTCAGCTGTGCAGGTGGAGAAAGGTGGGTTTGATCAAGATGTCAGTCTCTTCTGCTTACACCACTTTCTTATATTGCAGCTTCACAATGGCATGATTTGCATCTCTGTCTTAGCCTGAGCATTGGTCCTTGCTTTTCTACATTTCTTTAGTGAGACCACTACAGTTTCTTAGCTTTACCACCCACGTTTATTTCTCCAGTCCATCTCTTCCAGTCATCCAATTGCTAGTTTGGACTTTTGTTCTGTCTATATAGTCACGATCTCTCTCCTTTTTTTTTTTTTTTTTTAACATGTTCCATTTTGTTTAAGACTTAAGTCTCCATCTGCTAAGCACAGAGGTTTCTAACCTCCACTTGTTGCCACCTGTTGCTTCTCTGAAACTGGAGGAACATGCAACAACTCTGGTACTCACACGTTTAGACCTGTGTGCCATACTACTGGGGGAGGACTAGATAAGCACTGTTAACACTGAGCTACATCCTCTATCTTGGGAATTTTGCTTTTTTTTTTTTTTTTTTTTTCCAGACAGCATCTCACTATGCACCCTTGGATGGCCTAGAACTTGCTATGTAGTCTAGGCTGGTCCCATACTCAAAGAGGACTCTTGCCTCTCTGTCTTCCCAGTGCTGGGATTAAAGGCACATGTGATCACTCTAAGCTCAGCCTTTAAACTTTTAACCTTGCTGCCCAGGATGTTTATCCTTTATTATTAGAATTGCACTGCAAGTCAGCTGAGGATTGATGGCACAGAGTCCAACAGAAGGTAGCATTTCAGTTGAGAGGCAAAGGTGAACATGAGCAGGGGAGGGCTTGGTGATTTCAGGGAGAGGAACCTAAGTACTTTGAAGAGTGACTGGAGAGATATGGTTGATGGAACAGGTGGTTTGGTGTGTTTTAGCATTGATGAGGAAAGGAATAGAGCAAGATGAGAGATGGTATTTTGGGAGTAGTGATATTCCTAAGGGGTCTGGAGGTCTCGATGTCACTGGGAATGGGATTTCCCTCGAGTCCTCAATCCTGATTGATGCTTCTAAGCAATTTGTAGGTCAGTTGACTGACCAGTAGGTCCCGGGCCAGTTGAATGAGGGTGGGGCCATAAGTGAGTTTGCTTGAAAGCTCTAGTTGTGCACTGTGAGAAATTAACATCTGAATGGTTGGTCAGTCACTAGGGACCTGTGGGTGTGTAGGCTCTGGGTGCAGAGTGAACCCGAGATGCACAGAGCAGAGCACTGTGTGGGATTTGTCTTCATTTGAGCATAAAAAGAAATGAGGGAATATGGATGTGTTCGTATAGACACATACGTATAGTGTGTGTGTGTGTGTGTGTGTGTGTAAATCTGAAAAAAAAATAGTAACTTTTGAAGAGACCTGGTCTGGGCTTCAAAGGGAGTTCTCCTTGGGTTGGTGTAACATTTGTTTATTACAGGGGTGTTCAGCAGTGTCCAGGTCTCCACCCACTTGATGCTACCAGGACCCCCTCGATAGTGACAACTAAAAATGTCACTGGGCATTGCCATAGCTCCTAGGTACCAGAATTATCCCCAGATCAGAACTGTTGTTCTACAGTAACAAGAAAAGAATTATTAAAAATACTTCAAAGCACTACATATGGTGCCTGGAACATTCTAGGTGCTCAGCAAATGTCTCCTGTTTCTGAAATACAACAAAGACCTACTTCTTAAAAGTTTGATACAAGTTGGGTTTCTTTGCGGCAGCTGTTGGGCATGTGGTGAGTGGGTGATGAGGCTATTCTACTGTGTGCCTCTACCTCAGCACAGTTGGCACTATTGCATATTGCAGAAGTAGGAAGAGTAAGATGACCTAAGAGCCAGTTCTCATGAGTGTCAGTCCTCAGATGACACCTGACACCTTGTCTCCCATTGACCCAACCTGTCTGCAAGGCAACTTAAGAAATGAGGGAGCTATGGACAGTGAAATTGTTTCTGCTGTAAGTGATGAAGACAGTTTTCTACATGCTAGCTTATGCATTAAGAATACTTGCATTTATATTTATCAGTTTACTCTAAAGTTTTTAAAAAATATTTAAAACAATTAAGTGTAGTGAGTGTTTTGCCTGCCTGCATGTATGTATGTCTACCACCTCTATAGCCTGGTACCCACAAAGTCTAGAAGAGGGAGTCAGAGTCTCTGGAACTGAGCTGTAGGTTGTAAGCTGGTGTGTAGGTGATGGGAATGGAGCCTTGGGCCTCTGGAAGAGCAGCAGCTGGTGTTCTTAACTGCTCTAGTGCTCTGACTTGTTGAATTGTCTCTCCAGCCCCTAACCAAGTTACCCCTTGGCAACTTTGACCAGATTTGAGGTATGGGAACTAAGGAACCAGGCAAGGGTTTGTGTGGTAGAGCCAAGATCCTTCAGTGCTTTTAAGCATCTTTGCCTTTAATTCTTGTGTAGTGTCTGCTGAGCTTTCTGTATGTCTTGTTCCCATCACTCCTCCCTCCCCTCTGTCATGATGTTCATCAGTTCTTCTAGGTAGTTATACAGTTTCTTAGAAAGGATGTTCCAATGGTCTGTTATAAATGAGATCATTCTGTTTAATGTCATAGCTTAGCCTTCCTCTCAGTTTCATAAAATAGCTTAGGTTGTGTAACCTTGTGGGTAATCTTGACAGTTTCCTGAATGGCCACTCACTGTGGATTGGTGGAAACTCAAGAGAGATGAAGTAATTTACACTGCACACACATCCTAATCTCTGCAGGCAACTAGTGGGAAGGTTTATTCTGTTTTGAGGCCTATAGATCCTGCAGCTAAGAGGTGTAATCCCACCTCCATGCATGAGAAAACCCCCCGCCCAGAGGCCTGAAGGATGTGAAAGTTCACAGAACAAGTAAGGGACATTTATTCAGAGCAGTATTGTGTACAGCACTGTCTGCTGCAAGTCAGACTGCCAAGCTCCATGTCAGGTTTGGGTCGGGTATTGTCTCCACTCACCTGCCAGGCCAGGGAAGCAAAGCCTGCAACAAACAGTCTGCATGCATTTCTGGGCACATTCAGTCTGTCTCCACTCAAGATGATTAATGATACCAGAAGTCCACTAAAATTGTCTTTCTAAAGGTTGAAGCTTTTTCATATCACCCCCTCTCCCTTTTAGGAGCAATATGGCAGATGCTAAGATTTTGTATATATGTATGTATGTATGCATGCATGCATGTATATCTGTATGCATGTATGTGTATATATATTTTTTTCCCTGTCAGTTCATCTCCCATCACTTCAGTGGCTCTGGAGTTACTGCAAAAGCCTGTGTACCACCAAGCAGTTCTAGCTTTGCTCTTTGTATTCTTCCTGTGCAGATAGGCAGATGGGACACAGTCTTTATGAAAAGATTTGGCTGGTAATTTGGGAGAAGGTGCTGGTCAGACTATTGTACCTACATTTACTCCTCTGGCTCTTAATAGTGCTCACTAGCTCCTTCAAGTGTGAACTTAATGACAAGTTTACTGTGTTGGGAGTGACTGATGGGGGTCACCCACCTCCACCCTTTTCTACTTGGCAATGAAGAAAGAGTGACAGCATTCTAGACCACATGGCAACTTACCTGCAGAGAACATCAGAAGAGAAGTGGCGCTGATAGAGAGTCCACAAAGGGGCTGCCTGTCATCTGTGGTTTTTAGGGATGAAAAGAATCACACTTAACTAGTTGAACCCTCTGCTCAGCCATATAGGAATTCTCTCGTGACTCCACTCCCATTTGTCCCTAATACCTATCACTGGTACTTAGCATTCTGCAGCTCTCTCCCTCCCTCCCTCCCTCACCCCCCCCTCTCTCTGGTGTGTGTGTGTGTGTGTGTGTGTGTGTGTGTGTGTGTGTGTGTGTGTGTGTGTGTGTTGCCTTTCCTGACAGGAACTCAGCAGTTTTCTTCTGGTTTTTGACCCAGTTTCCCCACAAATACAGTGTTGTTTGCCTCCCGGCACAGTTGACAAGGACGGCGGCTGTGTAGTTGTGCTCCACCTGCTGACATCCCATGTGTCTTCAATAGAGTTATCAGGTCACACCACTTCCAACAGTTGAAACAGGTATCAAGAAGTCATGAGCAGTGGCATCTATAAGAAAGAAACACTTTTGTAAATGTTTGGGTAGTTCATGGAT